AACACTGAAGTGAGTTGCCCCTGACTAAGGAAACAAAAATTAGAACATTACTGTCTTGTAAATTACTATGTTAGACTTTTACTGACCTTACCAATAGTGGGACTTTATGCAACAAAAATTTGAAATGAATAAACGAATTAATTCCATTTCTATATAAATATGCTGTAGTACCTCTCAACCTAAAAAAATCCAAGATCTGATCATTTCAAAATCTTCTCCAGTTATCAGCCCAGGTTTCTGATGACCTCTTTATTTAGTAAAGCACCTCAAAAGACTTTCCTATAATTGTGTACACTTCTGTTCCTTTTGTTTTAAGATTTTATTTTTTAAGTAATCTGTATACTCAGTGTGGGGCTTGAACTCACAACCCTGAGATCAAGTCACTTGCTCTACCGACCGAGCCAGCCAGGCACTCCTGTGTATGTTTCTATTCTGAATTGTTCTTACAGGCATTACAAAGTTTTGTAGCCACTAATCTACCAAAATGTCTCTAAAACAAGTTACCCATGTCTTGATGTTTTCTTCATCCTCATTGAGCCTATCAGCAAGTTTTGTGTAGTTGATCATGCCCTCCTCTTGCAATAGTTCTTTCTGCACTATACTATGGATTTTCTTCCCACTTCACGATCTACTACTCCAGTGTTCTCTGGTTTTCCACCTTCCCTTCTTTGATGCTGTAGTCCCTTAATGTTTGGCTAAAAAACACAATTTCTCTATTTGTTCCCTAGATGACCTCATATTGTCTTTAAATATAATCTATTCCCTAATGACTCTCAAGGTCACATATCTGGCTTGGATTAATCCCTGAACTGAACTACGGTGTCCTATATCCAACTGCCTTCTAGACATCTGCACTTAGATACCTAATAAGCAACCACAGAGTTAACATATCCAAAACCTATGGATTTACCCAACCCTCAGAACACCTCCGCCCACCATCTTCCCCTTTTTAATAAATGAGCATGTCCATTCTTCCAGTTTGTCAACCTCCAAAATTGGACTTGTCTATGACCCTTTTCATTCTCTCACATGCTATCTACTATACCAGCAAATCCTATAATCTCTACCATTAAAATATCTCAAATGGCCCCCTTCTGACCAGCTTCAGCAACACCACTCTGGTTCAAACCATTCTAACTGCTCACCAGTACTGTTGTGATATTATCCTGCTGGCCTCCCTGCTTCTGTCTGGCTTTCCAAGCTATTCTTCGAATGTAAGTCAGAGGGTAGTTTTAAGTCAAGTCATGTGAGTATCTACACAAAACCCTCCAATACTATCTTGCCTGAGAGGAAAGTTCTAAAACCATATGTTGGCCTTCTACATGGTGGTTCCCTGCTTCTTCAACTTTACTTACTTTCCAACCCCACCCAACACCAACTACCCATACAACCAACATACTACACTAGCCACATGGGCTTCCACATTGTTCTTGAGCTTACAACCCTGCTTTTACCTGAAGACTTTTGTACTTGTAGTTTTCTCTGCCAGCTGCACTTTTTATTCATGGAGCCACATAGCTAACTACATTACTTCTTTATGTCTTTGCTTTCATGTCACTTCCAAGGAAATGCATCCAAGAAAATACTCTATCATCTTATTCTGCTCTCTCTTCCTCCATTGTACCTATTTTTACTTGAGATATTAGATATCTATGTACTTATTTATGTCTATGTAAATTCCATAAGAGCAGAACATTGATTTGTTTTTTCACTGCTGTCTGTCTCATCACCATCTGAGAACTCAGAACACGATTTGACCCAATATTAGGTGCTCAATAAACATTTATTGATTTTAGGGGACATAAGGATGGCTTGTGAATATAAACAGTAGAATAAAATATCTTTAAAGTGCTCAAAGGGAGGAGTCCTGGTCTTTTATTTTAAAATGCAAAAGCTAGGAGTATGCCACCAATTTATTAATAAAAGAAAATTATTCAGATTTCCGTAGTTTGCTTGTTCTGTGGCTACAGTTAAAAATGAACATTTTAGACATTTTATTATAATGAGCATTATTCTTCCTAAGCAGCTTTTCCTGGTTTTGAGAATGTTTTTACTCAGGAGACAAAACATGGAAATGAACCTGGGTTTCACTAATATTTGTATAATTGCATGTATAATTGTAAAATTATTGGATAATCTTATTGTAAATAAGCTTCTTAACAAGCATTATTAATTCCATTTGAATACTGATTCATTTTAACAAGGTCTGAACTTTTTATTTCTAGATTGGTATGTTCCCTTATTTACATATTATTGAGTGTGTCTGGTTTTTTCTTCATTGCTTAGATTAGTGTTTCCTGGATCACATTTCCATTTCTCTTTCTCCCAACGTCGCATTCAAGTATTTAGGAGCACACAGTAATGTCTTCTTAAAATGATGTTACTTTCCTAAAGTAATACCTTGACAGAACTTGGAGTTGGTAGAATGATGCAAGCTAAAATGCTTTTGCTCTATAAAATGTATTTGATTCTCCTCTTCTAAATTCCATGTATCTCCTTTCAATATCTGCTTTTTAGGATGCTATGCAAGATTGATGGAGACATTAAATCCAAAAACTAAAAGAGAAAAAAAAATGTAAATGTGAATTTTCAGTTGACTTTAGGAGAGATATATTGCTTAATAGAAACATACAGGAAACAATGCTAGTGGGCAGTAAATCCCAGATTAATTACATATATTCAATATGCTATGGAGCCAATGCGTATAACTGAACTTTTTTATAAAGCACTATAATTTTATGATTTTTAGTGCTAGCCAGTAAATTTACAAGCATTAGTATTGCAATACGTGATTTTGCCCCTGTTACCAGAAGCGAAATTACTATGCTCTATTACAAGCCTATTAGATCTCTATTCCCACATCTTTTATTTATTGATTTCTTAAAAATCTGTACTTTATGTTTTGTGGTACAATCAGCATACATTTCAATTGTTGGAAGGTTTGAAACTGCTAAGTAACAAATCTGTGAATTCACAATGATATTCTAATAATCTAGGAAATGTCATTTCAAGTGGTAATATCAATATGTATTTTGGTTCATTAGCAGAATACACAATGGCTATTTCTAGCATCTTCTCAGTCATTCTGTTTAGCCAGTTTGTATTGTGATGCCTGGCCTGAAGCAATTCTATTTTTAGTTCTAATGGAACAGTCTTAAATTGCTTATTTTCTGTTTACTAAAGTCATCCCGTTTGTTACCATGGAAACTATGACAAGTGCTCTAGCTAACTATTTTATTAAATGAATTGAAGATATAGCTGAAGACTATGAAGGTGCGGCATGTCATTCTTAAGACATATTTTTCAACATCTGTACAACCATGGCCATATCTATAGAAAATATGATATTAATTATAAATAAAGCCTTCTACATTTCAAATCCGGGAGACTATTGACATTCAAAAATCTGAATCATAGCAAACACATCGGCATCCCCAACTTTGTAAAGTCTGTGTTCTAAAAGTGTTTTTGTAAATCAGTTCCTTGGAAATTAGAACATGTTCACCCATAGAAACAGTATCATAAATAATAAGTAGATCTTGATGCCCACCCTCAAAAGCTCTACCACCTGTGATCTCAATCTATAGCAATATTAGCAGTAGCCTTTGTTCCCAGCTTTGGCAGTAGGAGCCATGTTGCAGGGATGAGAAAAAAAGGAAAGGATTTTCTCATATTTATTTTGTTTTTAATAGTTACACAAACATAGGACACCATTTTGAAATACTAATATCCGCTGGTCTTCGGGGATGTTGGACCCCAACTACTTTCTCCTGTTATTTGCCAATGCCTCTGTCCTCAGACTCTTGTTCTCTCATTTTCTGATATCTCCCTCTGAACCGAGGTCCAACTTGCTCCAAACCTACCTGCCTCTGCACTGAACCATCAAGATTCAAGATGGTTCCAGCTAGTTGTTTAAAAAAAAAGTCAAAAGTCTGAATAACTGAGAACTCTTCCTGCAGTTTTGCATTTTAAAAATACTTTTCAACCCAAACAAATCCTTAACCTGAGGTTTCCATCACCATGACTAAAAAAAAGAAATTTCCAGAAGGTAAAGATGTGAGTAAGCTGCTTAAAGGAAATACTTAGTTCTGCAAGTACCTGAGAGTTCTCAGCAAGTTCTGTAGTACCTGAGTTCAAGAAGTCAGTCAGAAGTCAATTGATTTAAAAGAAATCAACATCTTGACAGTATTCTCTAAATCTTGGATCTTAGATTTTCTGTTGGAGGATGTATGGCAAGAGTTAATTGTAAACCGAGTCTTCCCTGTGTTCATCTCATTTCCAGAAGATTCTAATAAAATGTATCTTATTAGCCCCATAATTGTGCTTTAAAAAGAATATAATATTTTTAGTTGAAGGAATCAAATTAACACAATAATATAGACAAAATTTTGTTCTTGTTTTCTAAAAGATTATAAACCAAATAAAATCATTATTATTTGGACATTGTGAATTTTGCAGAAAAAAAGAAAAGAATTATTGGAACATATATAAGACAGAGTCAATAACTTACTATTTTATATGCAGGAAATTAAAAGAGAAAAAGGAAATAATTTGCTTAACACTCAAATCAAGATGACACAGATGAATTATCTTCACTGTTTATACAGCTATACTTTATAGAATAGATTCTGAATTAATCAAAATGTATACGAAAAGGCAGTATTTTTCTGCAAAGTTAAAGAATATGCTTTTTTCCCTGTATACTATTATAGTGGTGGGTGTGAAAACAAATGAGATTTGATATTCTGTTTTCCTATAATGTAGTACCTGAATTTGCCTGTAAGGTCTTTATGACAAAATTTGTATATTTTTCTATAAATATATGTGTAATGAAATATGAAGTAAGTCAAATTATTTTTGTTAAATTTCAATAATCATTTAGAATCATTCAATAATCATTTAGAATAGAAAATTCTAAGGGTTTATTAGAATTTAAATATTACTAACACTTCAAAATGAAGGCATATTTTTGACCTAACATTCATTTTTCATCTCCTTAGGGTCCACTTTCATTTGTAACACTCACATAATTCCAGTGAAAAACCAAGAGGGCGTGGCTATGATGTTCATCATTAATTTTGAATATGTGACAGATGAGGAAAACGCTGCCTCCCCAGAGAGGGTAAACCCAATATTACCAGTCAAAACTGTAAACCGTAAGTAAAAGGCAACATGTACATAATGCTGTTGATATTCTCCTACTGATACTACTGTTACTAGTAATTTTAATACATTCTTCATTTGAGTCAGTTTTCAAAATATGTTTGCATTATAAGTAAAATAATCTTACGTTTAAAAAAGCCATAGCTGCTATTACCCTTTGGTGCTTTGCAGAATTGATCAGTTGCTTTTAAAACCATTTGACTTGATTATACCATTGTTAATTCAACCAGTCCCCTACTGATGGACATTTAGGTTGTTTCCAAATTTTGGCTACTACAAACAATGACAGAATTAATTGTGTACATGTATGTATATTTTTGGAAAATTATCTGCAGGGTAAGGGTCTATAAGTGGGATTCTTGGCTCAAAGGGTAAATGCATATGCAACTTTTTTAGATACTACTAAGCTCCCCTCCCTATGGTTTGAGCCATTTTACACCACCACCTGCAGTATATTAGATTTTTTCTCCAAAGCAATGCTAACAGAATGAGTCAGTCTTCTTGATATTTATGATTATGATAGGCGAGAAGTAGTACCTCAATTAGTTTTAGTTTATATTTCTTTTATTATGAATGAGTTTCAGATATTTAAGCATTAGGTTATTTCTTTTTCTGTCAACTGTCCATTTCTTATATACAATTCTTTGTCTTTTCTTTTTCAAATTTTAAGATAAGTGGCACATCTCTTCCCAGCAATTTTTTTTTTTTTGCTTTTTCCTGATTTTGTCATGCCAGGTTTTGTTGTTTGTTTGTTTGTTTATAAAGCAGCTAAATTTGTCAAGCTTTTCCTTTATTGATTCTGAATTTTTGAGTCACTATTAGAAAATCTTTCAGCATTCCAAGGTTATAAAAGAATTCTTTTTCTAGAACTTGAATAGCTTTAGAATCTCTGTCACTTTTTAAGTTTAGCTTGGTTTACAGTGCAAGATATACATTTAATTTATCATTTTATCAATGGCTTTCCAGTTGTTCTAACATCATTTATTAGAAAGCCTATCTTTTCATCAATAATTTGAGATACCACTTTTATCACATACTAAAGTTCTTTATGTGCTTGAGTACATTTCTGGACTTTCTATTCTGTTTTGTTACTTATCATTCAGAATCACATTGTTTTAAATATACAATAAACCTCTAATATGACATGCTCCTTTTGACATTAATTTTCAGGAGCTTGAGGTTATTTCTTGTTAAACATTCTTTTTTTTTTATAAATTAATTTTTATTTGTGTTCAATCTACCAACATACAGAACAACACCCAGTGCTCATCCCGTCAAGTGTACCCCTCAGTGCCCATCACCCATTCACCCCCACCCCTCTCCCCCTCCACCACCCCTAGTTCATTTCCCAGAGTTAGAAGTCTTTATGTTCTGTCTCCCTTTCTGATATTTCTCACACATTTCTTCTCCCTTCCCTTATATTCCCCTTCGCTATTATTCATATTCCCCAAATGAATGAGAACATACACTGTTTGTCCTTCTCCGGTTACTGTGGCCAAGTTCAAAAAGGGTGTTGCCTGAGTTCTTCTCTGGGATTTTGATGGAATCTTGTCTCACATTTAGATCTTTCATCTATTTTGAGTTTATCTTTGTGTCTGGTGCAAGAGAGTGGTCCAGTTTCATTCTTCTGCATGTGGATGTCCAATTTTCCCAGCACCATTTATTGAAGAGACTGTCTTTCTTCTAGTGGATCGTCTTTCCTCCTTTATCGTATATTAGTTGAGCATAAAGTTCAGGGTCCACTTCTGGGTTCTCTGTTCTGTTCCATTGATCTATATGTCTGTTTTTGTGCCAGTACCACACTGTCTTGATGAACACAGCTTTGTAGTACAACCTGAAATCTGGCATTGTGATGCCCCCAGATATGGTTTTCTTTTTTTAAAATTCCCCTGGCTGTTTGGGGTCTTTTCTGATTCCACACAAATCTTAAAATAATTTGTTCTAAGTCTCTGAAGAAAGTCCATGGTATTTTGATAGGGATTGCATTATACGTGTAAATTGCCCTGGGTAACATTGACATTTTCACAATATTAATTCTGCCAATCCATGAGCATGGAATATTTCTCCATCTCTTTGTGTCTTCCTCAATTTCTTTCAGAAGTGTTCTGTAGTTTTTAGGGTATATTTTGAGAACCATTTGAATGGTAAATGGTTCTCCAACCTTTTATTTTCAGGTTGTAGGTGTCCTTCTGTCTAAAATGAGTCTCTTGTAGACAGCAAATAGATGGGTCCTGCTTTTTTATCCAGTCTGAAACCCTGCGCCTTTTGATGGGGTCATTAAGCCCATTCACGTTCAGAGTTACTTGAACTTCTTCTTAAAGGGGAGTTTTAAGAGTCCCCCTTAAAATTTCTTGCAGAGCTGGTTTGGAGGTCACATATTCTTTCAGTTCCTGCCTGTCTTGGAAGCTCTTTATCTCTCCTTCCATTCTGAATGAGAGCCTTGCTGGATAAAGTATTCTTGGTTGCATGTTCTTCTCATTTAGGACCCTGAATATATCCTGCCAGCCCTTTCTGGCCTGCCAGGTCTCTGTGGAGAGGTCTGCTGTTACCCTAATATTCCTCCCCATGAAAGTCAGGGACTTCTTGTCTCTTGCTGCTTTAAGGATCTTCTCTTTATCTTTGGAATTTGCAAGCTTCACTATTAGATGTCGAGGTGTTGAACGGTTTTTATTGATTTTAGGGGGGGATCTCTCTATTTCCTGGATCTGAATGCCTGTTTCCCTTCCCAGATTGGGAAAGTTTTCAGCTAGGATTTGTTCAAATACATATTCTGGCCCTCTGGCCCTTTCGGCTCCCTCGGGAACCCCAATTAAGCGTAGGTTTTTCTTCCTTAGGTTGTCATTTATTTGCCTTAATCTGTCTTCATGGTCCCTTAATTGTTTGTCTCTTTTTTCCTCAGTTTCCCTCTTTGCCATTAACTTGTCTTCTATGTCACTCACTCGTTCTTCCACCTCGTTAACCCTCGTCGTTAGGACTTCTAGTTTGGATTGCATCTCATTCAATTGATTTTTAATTTCTGCCTGATTGGATCTAAATTCTGCAGTCATGAAGTCTCGTGAGGCCTTAATGCTTTTTTCTAGAGCCACCAGTAGCTGTAGAATAGTGCTTCTGAATTGGCTTTCTGACATTGAAGTGTAATCCAGATTTTGTAACTCTGTGGGAGAGAGGGCTGTTTCTGATTCTTTGAGGTGAGGTTTTCCTTCTAGTCATTTTGCTCAGTGCAGAGTGGCCAAAAACAAGTTGTATTGGAACACGGGGGAGTATCACTGGTCCTTCCAGCTGGTCTTCTGGGGGAGGGGCCTGCTGTGCTGATTTTCAGGTGTTAGCACTTGGGGGAGCTGCTCTGCCCCTGCCTGCTGCAGGGCTCAGCGGGGGTTGTTTACCCCGTGGGGCCCCAGGAGGAACAGCCGCAGTTGCTATGGCAACTCTGGAAGCCTGGATTCAGCCTCCGCAGGAACTACGGGGCTCGGGGCTCTCGGTCTCTCCGTCCGCAGGGCCTGGAGGCTCCGGGGCGGGGCCGCTGATCTGCTCAGCTCGGGGCAGGAGCGTCCTCGCTGTCCTGGGCCCTCCCGGCCTCTGCCTGTCCCGGGGGAGGCCGGATCCTGGGCTGTGTCCCGGCGCCCTGTGCTCCGGGGCCTGCGCTGTGGGATTCGCGCTCCCGCCCCGCAGCCCCCTCCGCGGAGCCGCCGCCCGAGCCCCTCCGAGCTGCTCCGGTCGGTCCCTCCGTGCGCGCTGCAGCCCTTAGGGAGCTCGGCGCACTCTCCCGCGGCGCAGGTGTCTGTTAGTGTCCCCGGGAGCCCGAGGGCATCCCCGCCCTCCTGGGTCCTGCTCCAACTCCCTGCGAGCCCCTTTCCGCCCCCCGGGAAGGTTGGTGCAGCTCCTGCTCCTCCGGGACGGGACGGGGCTCTCCTGTCCTGGGGACACTCGCCCCGGCCTCAGCCCGGCTCCTCGCGGGCCCCTCCCCCTCGGAGGCCTTTTGTTCCTTTATTTCTTTTTCCCCGTCTTCCTACCTTGATAGAAGCGCGGACTCTTCTCACTGTAGCGTTCCAGCTGGTCTCTCTTTACATCTCAGGCCGAATTCGTAGATTTTCAGGATGGTTTGAAGGTTATCTAGGTAATTTGGTGGGGACAGGTGATTTGGGGACCCTGCTCTTCCGCCATCTTGCCCCTCCCTCTCTTGTTAAACATTCTTTAAGAACTTTAGAAACAACCTGTCCAGATAAGGAAAAGATTCTGTTGTTTTTTACTGGACTCACATTAATTTTATAAATATTAACATCTTTATGATGTTGAGTCATTCTATACAAGAATTTTATATGCATTTTCAAGTCTAGCTTTTGTGTCTTTCAGGAGTCCTTACAATTTTTTTTTCCTCTTTAGTTTCCTAAGTTGGCATTTGACTTTTCGTTATTGCTGAAATTTTAATTAGGACCCTCTCTTTCCTTATATCTTCTGATTATTTTTAAGGCTAGTGACTTTTTTTCTGAGTATCTTAATTTTATATCCTACTATCTTAGTGAGTTTTCTTAAATTGCAGTGGCTTTTACATTGACTCTCATGAATCTTTCAAGTGTTCTATCTGATAGAGATTGTTTTACATGTTCCTTTCCAATTCATACATCTAATAGTTTTCTCTAATAGTTTTCTCTTGTTTTATTGTGCTAGCTATTACCGCCAACATATTATTAAAAAAGAAATTGATGATAAACAACATGCCTTGTTCCTGATGTTTGTGTGAATGGCAAGTGTTTTTCATTAATTCAAATGATAGCATCTTGGTTGAGTTGTATGTGTTCTATACTTTTAAGGCTTTCCATTACTTTGTATTTATAAAGAATTGTGTTGAAATTCATAAATTATCTTCAGTATCTGTGGAAATGAGTGTAGCTTTCTGTTTCCTTATTTTTAGGATACATTTTATTAATGGGGTTACTAACATGGAACTATTCTTGCATCTCTGGAAGTAGTCACATATGATCACGATGTATTTGAT